AGTTTTATCGTAAAATGTCATCATTTTTATTTCATTAACTCACCACAATTCTCTTATTTTTCCAATTTTATGTTTTATTGAGAACAAGGAGAACAATTTTAAAAGTTTTAAAAATTGTCTCTTTCTTGTTTAAATTTTGTTGTTCCAAATGCGGCTTTTTACAGAAAAAAAACACTGTGAAGCACATACTTTTTTTAGAGAGCGTGATGATACAATGAACTTGCATGCTTTTCAAAAGTCACCCTACAATCGATATTTGAAGTAGTTTAAAAATTATAAAACCACAGCTTAACATTTTGTTATAGCCTTATATATGTATATGGATTGAAATGCTTCTTTTGTTGTTGTCGACTACGGTGTCATAAATAAGCCATCCAAGTTTTGCATAAACAGCTACGGGCTCATGTGGAGACCACTCACGAATCTGGCTTGAAACTCCTAAATCGAGATTATTTATACTGTATACTTCTACAGGAAGCTTTCGCCTGTAGAAAGTTACAGGTAGCCAATCGAGGTACACCCCAAGGTGGGGAACCTCAACATCAACTCAATCCTAAAGGTTCTGGAAAACACGAGTTGCAAAACAACTGCCTACGCAGACGACGTTGTAATAGCAGTTGCTGGTAATGGATCCAAAGATTCTGGCTGATAATCCACTCTAAAGATGGTACTAAAATGGTGCCATAACTGTTGTCTAGGAGTTAATCCAGCCAAAACGGAATTGGTACTATTCATAAGGCATTACACGATTTCACGATTTGCTACTCCTAAGTTACATAAATGGAACAGCACTAGTACTGTCTGACAGTGCCAAATACTTGGGTCTAATTTTGGACAACAAACTCAACTGGAACCTGAACACTCTTAACAGGACCTCCAAAGCGGCCTTTGCAATCAGTTGTAAAAATGCAATATTCCTAAACTGGGGCTTAATCCCTAAAAACATATACTGGATATATCAAACAGTCATCAAACCAATTCTATTCTATGGTGCGACGGTCTGTTGGCTAGCTCTAGAGAGGAATAATCAAATCAGCAAATTCGAACGCATCATGAGAATGATGGCCATCATGGTAACAGGAGCACTGAAGACCACAGCGTCAAAAGCGCTCTTTACTATCCTAAACTGGGCATCACCCGACATTTACGCAAAATAAGTCGCTGCGAACACCGCATTGAGACTTAAGGCTACCAAAGCATGGAAGCATAATACATATGGTCATGCTAAAATCTCAGTACAAATAGGCATTCGATCCGGGGTTTGCAGTAAGCATTCCGGATAGAATGAGCTACACAAATAGCCAATACATAATGGATGATGCCATTCAAATATTCTCTGATGGATCAAAAACACATACAGAAGCAGGATGTGGAATATATTCTGAACAGTTAAACTTAAGACTGTCAGAATGGCTCCCTGACTACTGCAGTTTACTCCAGGCTGAAATTATAGCCATAAAAATTTCTGTAGAATACATACAGTATTATGGAATATCTAACAGGGAAGTCCACATATTTACTGATAGCAAAGCAGCCATTAAATCCCTAGAGAATGTGTATACATACCACGTCGAAAGTTGTCCAAGAATACCGGTCGTCTCTCGAGGAGATAGCGAGACATTCATGGGTGACGCTTGTTCCTGGACATGGGGATATAGAAGACAAAGAAGTGCTCTACAAGTGAATGATTTTGGCAGCAACATCGGCATACCCTACGTGAAAGGTAAAATGGCTGATTATAGACAAACTGCATACGATCGCTAATAGAAGATGGGAAACCAGGAAATAGATACGACACGGACAAACTATGTCATAAAACTGTCAAGATCCAATCTCAGGAACCTTAGTGCGGTTATAACAGGACATTGGACACTGGGCATTCATGCGCAGAAGCTAAAACTTCCTTCATACAATGATTATTGTACGAGCTGTAATGACGAGGAGGAAAATTACAGTACAGAGCATTTTCTATGTCACTGCCCCGGAAATGTTTAGTCGGCGTACAATCGTTGACAAAAGCTGTCTGTCAGATGAGCATCCAGCAACGATTAATACCTTCATCTGTCAGACCAAAAAGCTGAAATAATTCCGCCCTCTTCAATAAGGAGGTGAAGTGTTAATATCATGGTAACACAACGAGACCTATCTGGACCCATGTGAGCTTTGCCTCGGGCGGCTGCCAAATTAACCTAACCTACGATGTTCAATTTTTCACCACGTTCCAAAAATATTTATGGTGGGCAGTTTGCTAATGTTTTACAATTATTGTTGTTATTACACAAGATTCATTTGGAGTTGCATTTGCGTGTTTTTGTTTTTTCTTTATTTTGTTTGTACAGTTATCAACTGTCATACTGCTTGCTAGCTGTTATATTACTATTAAAAAAACAATTGTCAATTTCGAACAAATTTAGTTCTTTGTTTATCAGCTGTATATTTTATGTTGTCCATATAATTTGGTAGGATGGTGGAAGCTTTTGTATCAAATCAAAGAGAAGTGATGAATTACTTGAAGTAATTATGGATATAAGGCTGAGATCTTCAATGGCTAAGGAGGTAAGTGACTTTAAATTATTTTCATCAACTTTTGGTGATAGATTAATTATATTTTTATTGAATTTATTTTTTTTTTTTTTTCAGGAAATAATCGACAGGTGTTAAAGCGCACGACCTTTGAGACCTACTGACAATCCATTTTTCGACAGTAATTCCAAATAATGATTTCGACAGCACATGTGTACTGTCGTTCTTTAAAAATATCCGATATAAATAGTTAAATATTTCGATGTGTTTCAAACGAAATCTTCTATTGGAAATTTCGATCAAAAGACTTAAACATTTTATTCAATTGCTAATATTGATTGTTGCATATTTTGAAACAATTTCACAATAAATTTTAACAACTCTCTTTATTTCTAATATGCACTGTTTGTTTACAAAATGTGTCGAGTAATGGCTTTTTGCAATAATTTGTGTTTGTTTTTATTTATTAAATAATTGTTTTTTGTTTTGAATGAATCATTTGGTTTTATATGAATAGACAAAATTATTAAAGTGAATAATGTCGTCATCATGATGCGTTAATTTTTATCGAAAAAAAGCACGCACATGATAAGTGTTATAAACGTTTATAAACAGAAATACACATGTATGTATGTTGCCAGAAACATTAAATAAATTGGGGATACATGTTTACAGCAAAATTAACAGCAATTGGTAAAGATGGGCCCTTCAGACGATCACACTTTACGTACGACAAGTCTAATGAAAAAGAAAAATGAAATTCCATCCGTATGACAAAAAAGAGAATAAAAGTGGTATGATTTATATTTTTTGTGTTTACACGATTGGTATAAAACAATAACAAAGTAAGATGGAAACAGTTGTTTCACTCTTTTGTGTGTGTTTACATAAAAATACATCCCTGATCTAATGCGACTTGCTTGTTTTTTGAATAATTTCAAAAAATGAAGAGAGCCATACGACTGTCAAATTTTCTATCCGTATTTTCTCTCAATATGTGATGATTTCGTTATATATTGCGTTTTGACGATCCCATCCGTTATCTTCTACACAAAATTTTGACAGATCATATTACTTGTGTGTTCACGTGAAGGGGGCTTTACTAGCAATACCCATTGTATGTATGTATGTGCGTCAATCACGCCTAAACGGCGAAACCGATTTCGAAATTTTTCAAATTTGGCGTATTGATCTATGTCTGTCTGGAGCGTCAATAGGATATGAATGGGAGAAAACAGCGGTAGACGGGAAAAATAAATATTTCTGCGCTTAAAGACTGAACTGTATCGGTTCTATTGCGAACATATTTTCGATATAGCTTTTTAAAGTATCAGAAATATTTACTAAAAAGTTGGACCTCAACGGGCAAAAAATTAAGAAAAAACGGCGAAAAACGTGCAAAATAAGTACGTTTGTGCTTGAAGACAGATTTTTGTCTGTTCTAAGCAGAAATATTTTTGATTTAGTTTATGAAAGTGTCAAAAATACGTACTAGCAAGGATTCGTTTGCTTATAAAAGAAGTTTTTTTTAGCAAAAACAAAAAATGTTTTTGTTTAATTTAAAGATTTTGTAGACATTTATATGGCAACGCTGTATGGGAGAAACCACGCTCCCTATTGGTATTCCGCCAATTTATTACCCAAATGTTTACATGGATGACAAAATTGTTGGACTCTACGTGTTATATTTTCTCAGATATACTGACTTAATATTTTCTTTATATTTTTACCACTATAGCCAGTCCTCCCATTTTGTCCACAAATGTTCATATGGATGTCAAAGTTGCCCACATAAAATTTGAGGATCTTAGCTGTTGCGACTTCTAATATTATTAATATTTTACTAGCCTATTGACTATTCTATAAATTAATATATTGACTTACCTTTTGACTATTTTATTGACTAGTCTATTGACTGGTTTATGGACTAGTTTATTGACTATAGATCAACCTATTGACTAGTGTATTGATTAGTTTATTAAATAACTAGTTTATTAACTAATGTAATAATTAACTAATGATCAATTCAGTTGATTAGTCTATTAACTAGTCTATTGAATAGTATATGGTCTACTTAGCAAATGTTTATAATAAAAAAGGTATGTATGTATGTAATTGAAAAAAATATTGGAATAGTACTGAATTTACCATCCCTGGAAGAAATATACTTGTGTATATAAAAAGAGTTCACAAACATTAGTAGTATAATGAAATGTTTATAAACATATGGATGTAAATGTTTATAAACATCTCCTAGTAAGTATTTTCTCTTTTTCTCTTTATTTCATTTAAACGGCTAAAAGCCTAGCGAACGGTGCATTTTCGATTTTCAGTTGAATTTTTCACAAATTATATGACATTTTATTTGATATTAAAATACAATTACCTATTTGTTCAAATATGTAAGTCTCCACACTTGTTTCATGAAATCCTAACCTTTATCAAAGAATATTTATCGAATAATAGACTTCCAAAAATATAATAAACATTTTTACATGTATTTTATTTATAAAGTTTTAACCAAATTACATTTCACTATTAACAACTATTTTCAAGGTCCAAGCATGTTTTAGTCTTCTCTTATCAATATGATTTTTAGGTGGAAATACCACATGTAAAGCGAAACCATGTAAATCCCACTGAAATTAATAAATTTTTTAAATATTTTGAATATACCAAAAACCACAATAAAACCAATTACATACCTTAATTTGCGAATACTCCATACCCAACATTTCTATCGAATAGATATTACGTTCCCTTACTGAATTTAATAAATCTAGACCTACTAAACGAACACTTAAATATTCACTTGTTGAATTACCCCAAGGATATATAGTTAAACTATTAGTATCGTAGGGATATTCCAAAACAATGGCATAGATATTTATAAGTTGCCTTCCCTCATCTACCTTACTAGTGTACCATACAGAGGGCGTAACGATATCATTCTGATACAACCAGGGTTTAGTGGCATAAATAGCTTCACCATTTACTTTCAACCATTGACCCATGTCACGTAATCTCTCCTCAAATATGGGTAAAATGGTACCATATTTAGTGGGTCCCACATTGATCAAAACATTGCCATTACAACTGACGGTAGTAACTACTTGATGTATGACTTCTTCACTTGTCATGAAATCCTTAAGAGTCAAATCAAAACGTTGACCCCAACTTGCTTTGTCCAAAGTGAAGGCGTTTTCCCATTTATGAGGCTGTAATACACCTGGATTAAAACGATCTTGACAATTGTAAAAATCGCCATGCATGCAAGCAGTTCCAATACCCCAGCGATCATTAGTTACGATTGTATCACGCACAGGGCTGTCATTGTAAAGCCTGAAAAAGTCTCAAAGTCCCATTAATTTTTAGGTAACAGTAATTCAGAAAAGACTTTGAAGGATTATTTTCTTTGAAAGTCTTAATTTTTCGGTTTCTCTTACCATGCTATAAATTCCTCTGATTTCCAATACTTTGCGGGTGCTTCCGCATCACCATCGGACCATAAAATTTCGGGCAAATATTCTTGTATTAAATACATTTGTTCGGGTCTAACTTTATTCGTTACATAATTTTGTTTTAAAAATAAGTGCAATTTATCATCGATATACATGCGATTAAACCACTCGAACAAGGAATAATATAAACCAAATTTTAAATCGGTATTATTGCGCAAAGCAGATGATAGTTCTCCTTTAATAATTATAATGATTTAAAATTGTTTTATATGAATAATATGCAATAAACACGAACTTACTTATTATGTCCCGTTTGGGTCCAACATCCATAGAATTCCAACCGAATGATTGTTCTGAAGGCCAAAGGCAATAACCCTCATGGTGTTTACTAGTTAGGACCACATATCTGAAAATAAAAATTTCTGGATAGTTATTAGAAAAACCAAACCTTAAATCTATAGATAGATAGATAGATAGATAGATAGATAGATAGATAGATAGATAGATAGATAGATAGATAGATAGATAGATAGATAGATAGATAGATAGATAGATAGATAGATAGATAGATAGATAGATAGATAGATAGATAGAAGATAGATAGATAGATAATATTAGATAGATAGATAGATAGATAGATAGATAGATAGGTAGATATAGATAGGTATATATATCTATATATATATATATATATATATATATATATATATATATATATATATATATATATATATATATATATATTATATATATATATATATATATATATATATTTAGTCAAATACATATATAGCAATATATAAAAAATTAACTTATTACATTTTTACACTTTGTCATAAAATTGCATTTGCAAAATTAGCGGTAATAACTTAAAGTCTTGTAGTTTCCCTACTATAAAGAAAACTTTAAATAAACACAAATAGCCCATAAAATTTACAATTTATGGTTTGAGAAAATATTAGAGTTTAACCCACTGGAGCCAAAACAGTAGAGTTCGATTTATATGCAGTTAAACTAATAAAATTCGATATAAATCAGGTTTATAAAAATTTTGTATATCTTTAAAATTTCATACATTATGGAAATTTACTCTCTCACATACATACGAGCACATTCTTCTAAATTGAATAAAATGATTAGATAAAGGTAAAAAATATCATTATGGGGAGGACATGTTTTTTGTCGAATATCGTTAACCATTTTCTGGTAATGCAAATAAATATTTTAGCCAACTGCTTTGAAGTCCTTTGAGGCTGTGAACCAAATACATATTTGCCAAGGTTAGTCTAAGATCGGTTAGCGGCTAATCGGGTTCATTTTTTCAATTACTATAGACAATATTTAGACTTGAGTCCCTGCGTAAGCACGAGTAAAACGCTTATATTTCAAAAGAGTAATTTATAAAGTTTAGTTTTATTTGGCAGGAAATTAATATTACCTTCCGAAAATTACTTTAAATAGGTTTCATTAGTTTAAACATGCCCTCCAAACAACCACAAAAATTAGTTAAATTTTTAAATTTAAATTAATTATAAACACTTGTTAAGTTTATCAATAAAAATCACTTTCTACTCACCTTGCCCCACTGTCTTTAAATAACAGAGACCATTGAGTGGCATCAAATAACTCAGCTGTGAAATCTTGAGCAAATTCCTGATAAGAAAAGTTAGGTTTATAATTCTTCTCCATAAAATCAACGTAATTTGTATTTTTAAAATCTAAAATTATAAACAAAATAAAATGAATTGTATAACGAACGTATTTATAATAAAACATACATTTCCAATATTTCCAAAACCACTCAGAACCCATACTGGGAACAGAATATACACCCCAGTGTATGAATATACCCACTTTAGCTTCATCATACCAACTGGGCAGTGGTCGTTTATCCAGACTTGACCAATTTGGTTCGTATTTAGTTTCTACTTTTGCACAATTGCTAAGCTTTGTACAAAATATTACAATTAATATAATTAAAACTGTATTCCCCATTTAACAATGATCGTTGATGTACGTTCTAGAGCTGATCGCAGTAATAGACACACTGAGTTTATATATAAACATCTGCAATGTCAACTGAGCTCAATTGTTTGTTCGGTCAGATATACTCGCACTCAATAACTGAGTTTAAAAGTTTGTTTATTATACCCACTATTTCAAAAATTAATGGCATATTGATATGTAATTTCGTTCGTCGCAAAAAAACTGTGAACGAATGAAACAATAAAAATCAGTTGTTGAAATGATTTCTTTAATAATTATACTAACACTACTTAGTTTTTACAAAATTATATTTCATTATTAACGACAATTTTAAAAGTCCAGGCATGCTTTAGGCCTCTCTTATCAATAAGGTTTTTGGGTGGGAATTCTAGATGTAAAGCTGAACCATGTAAATCCCACTGAAATTAAATGATAAATAATTTTGAAAAACTTTAATAAAAACCACATTCAATATAATTACCTTTATAGTCAAATCCTCCAAACCCAACATTTCTATTGAATTGATATTACGTTCTTTAATTGAATTTAATAATTCCAAGCCAACTAATTGTATATTCAAATATTCAGTAGATGAATTGCCCCAAGGATATATAATTACACTATTAGTATCATAGGGATATTCCAAAACAATGGCATAGATATTAATAAGTTGTTTATTACCCTCCACCCTGCTAGTGTACCATATAGAGGGAGTGATGCTATCATTTTGATATAACCAAGGTTTCGTGCCATAAATAGCTTCACCATTTATTTTCAACCATTCACCCATGTCACGTAATCTCTCTTCAAATATGGGTAAAATGGTGCCGTATTTGGTGGGTCCTATATTGATCAAAACATTACCATTACAACTGACGGTAGTAACTACTTGATGTATGACTTCTTCACTTGTCATAAAATCCTTTAAAGTCAAATCAAAACGTTGACCCCAACTCTGTTTATCCAAAGTGAAAGCGTTTTCCCATTTATGAGGCTGTAATACTCCAGGATTAAAACGATCTTTACAATTATAGAAGTCTCCATGTAAACAAGCAGTGCCAATTCCCCAGCGATCATTGGTTACAATTGTATCACCCACTGGACTGTCATTGTAAAGCCTGAAAGGAAGTGTTTTAATAAATTAAAAGGTAATGTTTTATATACTGTAATAGAAATTTTAAGATTTTCATTTCAAAATCTATAAGATATTAAGTATCTAATATGTTATAAGACCATCAAATGTTCTTTTCTAAATAAAATGATTCCCAAGTTTAGGTAAAACAAGTTAAAAATTTTTCTTTATAGCTTACCATGCTATAAACTCTTCAGATTTCCAATACTTGGCCGGTGCTTCCCAATCTCCATCGGACCATAAAATTTCAGGCAAATATTCTTGTATCAAATACTTTTGTTCGGGTCTAACTTTATTTGTCACATAATTTTGTTGTAAAAATACATGTAATTTATCATTGATATACATGCGATTGAACCACTCGAATAATGAATAATATAAACCGAATTTTAAATCGGTATTCTTTCGCAAAGCAGAAGATAGTTCTCCTAAAATTATGGGAAATTTTATATTGATTTAAATCTCTTATATTTTTGATTCAAAACCACAAACGTACTTATTATGTCTCGTTTGGGTCCAACATCCATAGAATTCCAACCGAATGATTGTTCTGAAGGCCACAGACAATAACCGTCATGATGTTTACTGGTTAGGACCACATATCTAAAAATATGACATTTACAAACAAATGTATAGTTCAGTTCCAGTTCTATTTTAGTTCCATTCTAATTCAGTTCTTGTTCAGTTCTAGTTCAGTTCTAGTTCAGTTCTAGTTCAGTTCTAGTTCAGTTAAAGTTCAGTTCTAGTTCAGTTAAAGTTCAGTTCTAGTTCAGTTCTAGTTTAGTTCTAGTTCAGTTCTAGTTCAGTTCTAGTTCAGTTCTAGTTCAGTTCTAGTCCAGTTCTAGTTCAGTTCTAGTTCAGTTCTAATTCAGTTCTAGTTCAGTTCTTGTTCAGTTCTAGTTCAGTTCTAATTCAGTTCCAGTTCTAGTTCAGTTCTTGTTCAGTTCTAGTTCAGTTCTAGTTCAGTTCTAGTTCAGTTCTAGTTCAGTTCTAGTTCAGTTCTAGTTCAGTTCTAGTTCAGTGCTAGTTCAGTTCTAGTTCAGTTCTAGTTCAGTTCTAGTTCAGTTCTAGTTCAGTTCTAGTTCAGTTCTAGTTCAGTTCTAGTTCAGTTCTAGTTTAGTTCTGGTTCAGTTCTAGTTCAGTTCTAGTTCAGTTCTTGTTCAGTTCTTGTTCAGTTCTTGTTCAGTTCTAGTTCAGTTCTAGTTCAGTTCCAGTTCAGTTCTAGTTCAGTTCTAGTTTAGTTCTAGTTCAGTTCAGTTCTAGTTCAAGTTCAGTTCTAGTTCAAGTTTCAGTTCTAGTTCAAGTTTCAGTTCTAGTTCAGTTGTAGTTCAATTTTAGTTCAGTTTGAGTTCAGTTCTAGTTCAGTTCAGTTCTAAACTGTTTAAATATATGTATATTCCTTCGGTCAATGTAACACGAAATTATTGCACCAAATATTTTTTTGGAAATAGGTCCATATTTGTCTCATTATCATTAAAAATTTTGACATTATATTTACACTTAATAGATCAATATTAAACATCTTCTACTCACTTTGCCCCACTGTCTCTAAATAATAGAGACCATTGAGTGGCATTAAATAACTCAGCAGTAAAATCTTGAGCAAACTCTTGATAAGTAAAGCCGGGTTTATAATTCTTCTCCATAAAATCAACGTAATTTTTATATTTTAGATCTAAAAATATACAAAATTTTATAAAGATTTCATCTAATGTATAAAATATATAAAAACTTACTTTTCCAATCTGTCCAAAACCATTCAGAACCCATACTGGGTACTGAGTATACACCCCAGTGTATGAATATACCAACTTTGGCTTCATCATACCAAGTGGGCAATGGTCTTGTATCTAGACTTGACCAATTTGGTTCGTATTTTGTTTGTACCTTTGCACAAGTACTTAATATTGCACAAAAGGTTAAAATTAATGCAAATAAAAATTTATTTTCCATTTAAGAATTAAACTAATCGCTGCTGATTAGCTCTAGTATAGATCAACTCTCACAGTATTATACACACTGATTTAACAAATTCTATCTACACTTTTGAATTGTAAACTCAGCTCAATTGTTTCGTTTTAATAGATACTCATTCATTCTCAATTGTGGATTTATACATTTGTTTACTTTTTAATTGAGCATGTTTTTACAGATGTTGTTGCACAATGGAAAACAACTCATTTGCTGATAAAAATCATTTATGTTGAACTCTTAAGTTGAGTAGGTAGATGGTATCTTCGTGTTCTATCTGTGTTGCACAAAACAGTGGGACGGAATATAATTTTTTGGAAATAAATTTGGTATTTCCCAACGACTTGTTCAATAGAAAAGAATTGAGAACGTAAAAGCCAATGGCTTCTCGTATTTAACGCTCTAGGAGCGGACCAAGTAGCTCTTCTTCGACATGTACATTTTTGGCATTTTCGTCCGATTTTAACAATTTTAATTTTTTCTGAGTAAGTAAGTAAGTAAGTAAGTAAGTAAGTAAGTAAGTAAGTAAGTAAGTAAGTAAGTAAGTAAGTAAGTAAGTAAGTAAGTAAGTAAGTAAGTAAGTAAGTAAGTAAGTAAGTAAGTAAGTAAGTAAGTAAGTAAGTAAGTAAGTAAGTAAGTAAGTAAGTAAGTAAGTAAGTAAGTAAGTAAGTAAGTAAGTAAGTAAGTAAGTAAGTAAGTAAGTAAGTAAGTAAGTAAGTAAGTAAGTAAGTAAGTAAGTAAGTAAGTAAGTAAGTAAGTAAGTAAGTAAGTAAGTAAGTAAGTAAGTAAGTAAGTAAGTAAGTAAGTAAGTAAGTAAGTAAGTAAGTAAGTAAGTAAGTAGTAAGTAAGTAAGTAAGTAAGTAAGTAAGAAGTAAGTAAGTAAGTAAGTAAGTAAGTAAGTAAGTAAGTAAGTAAGTAAGTAAGTAAGTAAGTAAGTAAGTAAGTAAGTAAGTAAGTAAGTAAGTAAGTAAGTAAGTAAGTAAGTAAGTAAGTAAGTAAGTAAGTAAGTAAGTAAGTAAGTAAGTAAGTAAGTAAGTAAGTAAGTAAGTAAGTAAGTAAGTAGTAAGTAAGTAAGTAAGTAAGTAAAGTAAGTAAGTAAGTAAGTAAGTAAGTAAGTAAGTAAGTAAGTAAGTAAGTAAGTAAGTAAGTAAGTAAGTAAGTAAGTAAGTAAGTAAGTAAGTAAGTAAGTAAGTAAGTAAGTACGTAAGTAAGTAAGTAAGTAAGTAAGTAAGTAAGTAAGTAAGTAAGTAAGTAAGTAAGTAAGTAAGTAAGTAAGTAAGTAAGTAAGTAAGTAAGTAAGTAAGTAAGTAAGTAAGTAAGTAAGTAAGTAAGTAAGTAAGTAAGTAAGTAAGTAAGTAAGTAAGTAAGTAAGTAAGTAAGTAAGTAAGTAAGTAAGTAAGTAAGTAAGTAAGTAAGTAAGTAAGTAAGTAAGTAAGTAAGAAGTAAGTAAGTAAGTAAGTAAGTAAGTAAGTAAGTAAGTAAGTAAGTAAGTAAGTAAGTAAGTAAGTAAGTAAGTAAGTAAGTAAGTAAGTAAGTAAGTAAGTAAGTAAGTAAGTAAGTAAGTAAGTAAGTAAGTAAGTAAGTAGTAAGTAAGTAAGTAAGTAAGTAAGTAAGTAAGTAAGTAAGTAAGTAAGTAAGTAAGTAAGTAAGTAAGTAAGTAAGTAAGTAAGTAAGTAAGTAAGTAAGTAAGTAAGTAAGTAAGTAAGTAAGTAAGTAAGTTAGTTAGTTAGTAAGTAAGTAAGTAAGTAAGTAAGTAAGTAAGTAAGTAAGTAACACAATTTGTAAACAATTTCCAAATTGAATTCATTCATGCCCAATAAGTATGAACCGCCATCAAAAGACCTCAAATTAATCAATAACTTCTTTGCAGATTTTATTTGCTTCAAAAAACTTTATTTAGTCATATTACTTATAGATCAAGTTGAAAAAATGTATATGTGTGAAATGATAGATTTAATTTTAAACTTAGTTGTATGTTAAAATGTAAAAAAAGATATTTGCTTAAATAATTTACTCTTTTTGTTTATAATAATAAGATAAGGATTATAATAATTTATAAAAATGCATAAAATATTTTAAGTTTAATTTAATGTATTTATAAAAAGTAGAAACTACCAAATTTAGAAATAAAATATTTCAAAAAAGTGTTTAATATTTATCTGTATGAAATTATAATTCAACTAAAGTTAACACATAACAAGAAATTCTTAAAGAATTTTCCAGCAAAAAAACAAGGAGGCAGGAAAAAACAAATCAAGGTATTATATAAAATGTAATGTAATGGCGATTTGGTTTTTTTAAGTAAAAATTTAACAACTTAAAACTCTGTGAGTCGATTGAATTATTTATAATTGTTTTTGTATTTTACTGTCAACTATTGCTTGCAGATTTATTGAGTTGAGTTTGTTTTATTGTTAGTTAATAATATGTAATGCATAGTGTAAGTATTTAGTATAGTTTGTTGGAAAGTGTTATACTTTAAGTATAACACCTTTAAGCTTGATTGTAAGTTGTGTAAAATATTGAAAAAATATTGAATTTATGTTTGTATTTCTTTAATATTTTAATATTTCAATTAAAAGGTAGTTGATTATACTGTTTGGTTTTCTTTTTCTATGTAGTTAGTATTTTAGCTTTGTAATTGTATGGAACATTGAATTGTTTGTTACTGTGGTTACTGTTTGTCTGGCTATTGTAGGAAGAAATTAAATAAATTATATAGAAATTAAATAAAACAAAAATTAAACGAAGAGTTCTCTTAAACGTGTTTGTATATAAATATTTAAATATTTTGTATTTTGTCTAATATATAGAAGATTTCTGTTGTTAACTTTTTGTTGATGTTGCTTTTGGACATGGACGTTAAACGTAATAATAATTATTTATATAAAATTAAAGATGTTAATGTTAATAATGTTGATGATAGTTAATGTTCTAATAGATATAGATCGTTAGTTAGATTATATAAATGGCAGTATACAAATTTTATGTTCTAAAAATTTGTTAAATTTTGAAATTTATAAATTTCTTTGGTTAAATACGTTTGTGTACAATGCGGTCATAAAACAATAATGTTTCTATTTTGTCAAAATTACAAATTTATCTTTTAATTTCTTAGATAACCAAATGTGGGCCTTAATCGTTTTCTCTCTATTTGAAGCCATTATCAATCGAAAGTTTAAAATTTTGTGTTTGTCCTTTAAACTCGATCAATCAGTCGCCCTTTATCTCTTCACTCTCTACACTTATGGCTTCAAATAGATGAACCGTCAGTGTTCCTCTGGTGGTGTACGAAATTCTGAAATCCAATCGGTGACACGCAAGCGAAAGATTTCAGTTTTAGTTAAAATCCAATCACGATATTGATGCGGTATCGATTCCACAATTTTTTCAGCAATTTCAGGATTTTTGAACATAATCATATAGATGAGTA